AAGATGTTAAAAAAAAACACCAGAAGGCAGATGGTAATTTACTAGGTAGAACAGAGAAGGGTGAGTAGCAAGTGTCCCAGGGAGAAACCCACCAAAAGCAAAACACTGGAAACATTCAGGAGTTAGGGTGCTAGAGGGTCCCTGGGTCAGGATATCAGTAGAGCTGAGGACAAAAGTGTTGCTACAGGTCTGTATAAGAACTAGTCAGACCCTATATCTCCTCTTGGGCTCTGCGAGGCTAGATGACACCACATCTCTGCCTGAAAAGTGTGTCCCAGAAGGCTCTTACCTGTGGACAGCTGAGGCTCTGAGACAGAGGAGCTTACTGAGAAAAGAGTCAAGAAATTAAATGATGTATTGCATTGGGCAAATATGTTGTCAAGAGCCTCCTTAAAGTACTAATAAGCAAAGATATCAGTCGCAAGACTAAGGTGCACCCAACTCAAGTCATAGTATTTATACTTGTTTCAGGTGTATGTGTAAATTAGACATTGCTTAAGGAAGAATGAAAAAAAAATTGATGCCTTTGAATTGTGTTGACAAGTTTTAAATGGAGTGCCAAAAGAATGAACATATCTGTCTTGAAGTAGTACAATCAGGCTACTTCTGGGGCAAGGATGCTGAAACTTAAGTCTAGAATACTTTGGTCATATTGTCAGGAGAAGCCAGTGCTTGGGAAAAACAAAACCATGCTTGGAAAGGCAGAAGGGTCAGCAATGAAGAAGACCCTCAACAAGGTAAAGTGACACAGCAACTGCAATAATGGACTGAAGCATGGTAGAGTGTGAGGATGGTGCAGGATCACACGAGATCGCCCGCCATGTTCACAGGGTCACTATGATGCAGAAGTGACTCAACGGCACCTAACAATAGCTGAGAAAAGGGGGACAAAATAAAAGTCTGCAAGACGCTGCCCCATTCAGATGCCAGGCTTATACCCTTCCAAGGAAAGAGGAGATTCCTCTGCAGGGAAAGAAAATCACCAGGAAAAAAGGATCTTAGATCCTTATAAAGCCCTTCCATAGAAACAGCTCCTCCTGACCCAATTCCTCAGCCCAAGGATACAGACCTATACAGACCTCCAGCTGAAGTCTCAGTGACTCCTCCCCATGAATGAAATGCAAACAAGACATTTTAAGAGTATCTTTAACATGAAAGGAAGAGATTAGGCTTAAAAAAGAAGAAAAGACTCTCAGAGGAAAAGAAAGATATCTCAGAGAACAGAAAAGACTAAAAGCTCACAGAGATAAGATGCTGCAGCTGTGAAACAAAAACACAATAATAAAAAAATACTTGGAAAATAAGAAAGTTGGAGAATTTTAAAAGTATGGCAGGATACTTTTAAAAAAATGTAATAAAAGGGTTGTGTGGTAAAGATAAGGATGTCTCTCAGAAAGTAAGAGATGAAAACAAATTTTAAAATTTTTTTTTAAAAAAAGAAAACAAGAGGACAGCTGAATACTAAAGATTTCAGAAAGAGAAAGCAGAAGTTAGAAGTATTAAACGAGTTACACAAAGACATTTCTGAAACCTGAAGGACGTGGTTTCTAAATTAATATGGTCCACTAAGTGCCCAAGATAATAAATAAAAATAGATCAAGGCACATAACTGTAAAATATTAGAGCGGAGAGAGAGACTTCCAAAAGTGTCCAGATTTTTTTCAAAAGGTCATAAAGTCTTAGAAATCAGAATGCAATGTTGGAAACCAGAAGACAATGGGAAAATGCCTTCAAAACTCAGTGAAGGTCAGTGAATTTTAACTCTAGAAATATCAAATCCAACCACCAGGTTTGCAGAAGAATAAAGACACTTCAAGTTCCCTAAATAAATCATTTACCTCCATGTATTCTTTCTCAGAAAGTTACTTTAGTTAACTTTAGCATCAATACAAAAGAATATGCGACCCTCCCTCTGAAAAAAAAAAAGGTAGCATGGGATCCAGAAATACAAAGGCCCTGCATAATCATTTCAGGGCAAGTATAGAAACTACCTAGTTTAGATACGTAGTTAAGACTGGGGCAGGACAGAGGGAAGTTTGGGGGGAAAGTCAAGAGGTGAGGAGATGAGAACTGTTAGGTTATCTGGAAGAAATTATCTTCTGGAAAACTGGGTTATGAGACACTTTACAGCACACTGAAGGGTATGGGAGACTTAGAGAGAGAGAGAGGTGAAGAAAAACATCCTTAAAAGCAAGTGTCACCTTGCTACAACCTTGGTTCAACCAATAATAAAGAAGATGTTTAAACAAAAAAAAAAAAAAAGAAAGATGTCCATGATCTTAATAATGAAAACACAGACTATGGACCTAATAAAAACTATGTTAACACTATCTTGGAATGTGATGGGGAGGACAAATACATGTGTAGAAAGTAACGCAAGAAAGGGTTAAATTATTGCATAAATTAAATAATAATATCTAAACTGAACAATCAAGAAACAGTGGTCAGGCATGCAATTTGAGAATATAAAGGTACTTAATATAATAAAAAATTTATGTCTTTGAGTTGTGGCGATGGAGAAGTGTACTGAACAAACTATGGACCACTAAGAGAACAAAGAGATCTATCTGGGAGAGGGTGAAACCAAGCTGCTTCTCAGAGGCAAGGATTCTGAAGCTCCATCTCACATACTTTGGACACATGGCTAGGAGGGAACAATCCTTGAAGAATGACATCATGCTTGGAAGGGTGGAGGGACAGCACAGGAGAGGAAGACCCTGGATCAGAAGATGTATTGACACAGTAATTGGAGTAATGGTAGTAGGTGTGTCAGAGACCTACTCAGCATGGTTCAGAGCTATCATGTATACACAGAGCTCGCTAGAAGTCACAAGAGACTTAATGCAAAAAAAGTGAAAAGAGAAAGTTGGAAGTCATTAGTAAGAGAAAAAAATAGAATGGGGAGGGTTGGGAAGGTTATTTAATGCTCTGTTGTCACCTTGCAATTCTTGATAATATCTTTGAGAATGCAGAAAAAAGGAAAAAGCTCGTAGTAACTTTGGCAGCATTTTTTCCTCTACTTTGCACTGTTGTTAGGTGTGACTGAGTTGGTTTCAACTCACAGTCACTCCATGTGGCAGCAGAGCTTTTTCTAGGCTATAACTTTTTCTTTTCTTTTTTTAAATAATTTTAATGAACATTTACAGAGAATTTGGATTTCCATTCATTCTATGCTGCACTTCTCTCCCCGCCCAGCCCTGCCCCCCCCCAGTTCGCTCCTCTCTTTCAAAAGTAAAAGAAACACTCCTTCCCTGGTACAAAATCCCCCCCACACCCCTCCCGCCACCCCAAGTACATTCCACTATGCAACTTTAATTGTGGACTCTTGTGATAACCACATACATCGCTTTTAAATTATTCACTCCTTCATCTGTTTCAGTGCAGTATACACAATCCATCCAGTTTTTCTCAGTCTTACCCCAACCCTGATAGCAGTCCCATTTTACAACAGTGGCACCATGCAATATTTGTCCTTTTGCGACTGAGATATTTCACTCAGCATAATGTCCTCCAGGCTCACCCATTTTGAATAATATTGCATGAGTTCCTTGTTTTTCAATGCAGCATAGTATTCCATTGTGTGAATCTACCACAGCTTCTCTATCCATTCGTTTGTTGATGGGCACCTGGGTTGTTTCCAACTCCTTGCTATTGTGAACAGAGCTGTGATAAACATGGGTGTGCATATATCTACTTGGATGTGAGTTATGGTCTCTTTGGGACATATTCCCAGTAGTGGAATTGCTGGGTCAAATGGTATCTCTATTTGCAACTTTTTGAGAAAGTGCCATACTGCCTTCCACCGTGGTTGCACCATAGGCTATAACTTTCACAGAAGCGGATCACCAGTCCTTTCTTGCGCAAAGCTGCCAGATGGGTTATAACCACCAACCTTCTGGCCAGCAATTCAGCACTTAACCAAAGTTGTGTCACCAGGTTCCTTTGCATTTCTCTGTTGTTATTTTTCTTAAGTGCTGTCAAGTCGCCTGCAACTCACAGTGACTCCATGTACAAGATCCCTAAACCTTGCTCTATTCTGTGCCAACTTCACTGTCTCTGACATGCCTACTCTCATTATCACAGTCAATGAATAGATCCATCTCATCGAGGGTCTTCCTCTCTTACACTCTTCCTCCACCCTTCCAAACATGATGTCCCTCTCCAAGGACTAATCCCTCCTTGCAACATGCCCAAAGAATCCAACTTGCCTCCAAGGAGCAGCCCAGTTTCACCCTCTCCAGAACAAACCTGTTTGTCCTCTTAGCAGTCCATGGTATATTCAATACTCTTCTCCAGAATCACAGCTCAAAGGCATCAATTCTCTATCATCCCTAGTCACTGTCCAGCTCTCTGATGCATAGCACACAATTGCAAAGACTATGGCCTGGATCAGGTGCACCTTAGTCTCCAGCTTGAAGTCGTTGCTGTTCAGTACTTTGGAGAGGTCCCTGACCGCTAACTTGCCCAATGCAATTTGTCTCTTGATTTCCTGACTGCTGTTACCAAGAACATTGATTGTGGAACCAAGCAAACTAAAACTGTTAACAATCTTTTCACCATCCATAATGATGCTGCCAATTGGCCCAGTGGAGGGAATCTTTATTTTCTTAATGTTGTGCTTCAATCCATATTGAAGGCTGCGGTCCTTGACCTTCTGCGTTTCTCTACACCTCCCAAATTAATGTACCCAGCCCAGCAGCCCCTCCACCTTCATGTCCTATCCCCAGCCTTAGTTCACATCACCTCACTGAAGACTGTCTATCTGTCACTACCTCCCGCATTCATTCATGCCCCTTCTTCCAGGAATACCATTCATCTCCCTTCTGTTTATCTGGGAACCCTTGATCATGTTCCAAGATTCAGCCTGCATGTCCCTCCTGGGAGGATGTTGGGACCCCAGCACCTCCATTTTTATCAGGTGCCCCTTGACCATGACACTGCAGTGCCATCATCCGCATCTCCCACACTAGATCCCGATGTTGGACTGGGGAGGGACTTACTCAAGGAACCTGGTGATGTACTCGCGGCTGCAGCGGGACCAGGTGAGGGGAATGGCGTCGTACAGGAGCTGTGGAGACATGATGAAAGGCCGTTTCCCAACGGGCTCACAGTCATTGCCGTTTCCGTCATGCTGAATGCCAAAACTGCGTGAAACACAGGCCCCGGGGGCGGGTGAGCTGGGAGCAGGCTGCCAGATGGCCCTTCACCCCAGAGGTACACAAGGACCTAGCTCCCAGGACTGACCCTGCCACCAAATGACTGTGTAAGCCTGGGAAAGTCACAGGCCCTCTCTGAGATCAGGTGTCTTAATCTTAAATAGGGATATAAGAGTGGGAGTCCCATGGCAGCTTCCTCCCAAGCCAGAATGGACCTGGACTGGTCAGTAAGGGTGCATCAATTGTGGCTGCATATTATAGCCTGGTTGGGCCTCACGGGCTGACAGAAGACCCATGGACAGGTGCCAGACTAAGCACTTTAACAAACATTATTCTTCTCAGTGCTCAGGCTTCCCAGTGAGGCATTATCATCTCCAGAGAGTTCAAGGAACTAACTAAAGTAACCAAAAACTGCAGGATTGGGGCACAGGACTCTGTGGGTAGTCTCAAGGCCTCTTGTATGTAGCTGTAACCCAAGGAACCCAGTGGCTCAGTGGATGATCCCAACATCTCTGACTCTTATCAGACAGTCAAGATACTGTGATCTTCACCAGACAAACAGATCTTCACCATCTACCTGGGCATGAGTGCCTTATGTGGAGGGTGGCAGGAAGGCAGAGATTTAGACATCACTAACTACAACCCCCTCAAATCTACAGGGAGTGCTCCGAGGCCCAGAGAGGGCAGTACACTTGCCCATAGGAACACAGCAAATAGGAGTAGATAGTGGGGATCTAGATTAAAATGCATGCACCAAAGAGTCACCAAGGACTATGTAACTATAGGCCATATGAACCTCCCTGCAAGTCTTGCATGAGACCAGCCCCAGAGATGTCCAGGTGGTGCCTCACTCATGTTCAGAGAAGCAGGCTGGTCATGCCAGGCCAAGCTGGGGCAATCTCCTTTCCCCAGGATCCTTCCCCTTGCACCTCTAGGTTGGGAAGGTGAAGCTGGGTCCTTATAATGGCAGTGGGGACGGGGCAGTACCTGTGCCCAAGCTCATGGGCCACGGTGAAGGCCAAGGGCAGGCCTGTGTCCTCGTTGATGTTGCAGCTCCGGTGTGGCTGGCACATGCCTGACACGTGGGACAGGCCGAGGGTCTCGCAGGGCTCATTCATGGCCATACACAGGTCCTTCCTGCACATACAGGGTACAGAGGACTCTCAGGGCTGACCTGGCCCCCAGGAGTGACGCAAAGCAGCCACCTGGGGAGTAGGGCCCCCCATTCACTTCACTCACACACATCCCCTGATGCCTGCTTGGGCCTGCGGAGCAGACCCTTGCACAGTTTTGATCACTATTCCAGTAAGATAGAGAGAAGACAGTTTCATCTTAAGGTAGAGCTTAAAAATATGAATTCTCTAAGAAGGAACCATGGTGGTAAGATGCTTAAGCACTCAGCAGCTAACCAGAGAGTTAGCAGTTCAAACTTCACCCCAAAGGGGGAAGTGGAGAGAGGAAAATGTTAATGAATGAATAAAAAGAAACCAATCTCTTTGTAAACTTTCACTAAAATCACAATTTTAAAAACCCCAAACACTTCAGCCTAGAAACCCTCGTGGGACAGTTCTACTCTGTCACGTAGCTTCTACGAGACAAAATCAGTCAACTCCATGGCCCTAACAACAATAACTCTAGTAGGTCCAAGTGCTGAAGAGATCCAGCCTTGGGTCAAAGAGGTCAAAATCTTCTAAAAATAGGGCCCCAAGAACTCGGCTGCACCTCTCTAAATCGGGGTAAGGTACAGAGAAATGAGCGCCCCTGGTGGCTGGTGGTACCTGGTGAGCAGGATGGCAGCGTCGTGGTGCAGGGGGTGGGTGTCTCCCTTCATGTTGATGTTCTTCTGCCACTTGCAGAAGCTCCTCAGGGTGTTGTCTGCGTGGTGTGTGATTTTTAGGTCCTCCTGGGAGTCAGAGAGAAAAATCTCAGGACGCTGTAAATGGTTAGCATGCTTGACTGCTAGACAAAATATTATGGGTTCAGGTCTATCCATCCAGAGGCACTTTGGAAGAAAGACCTAATGATCTACTTCCTTACTCCTCCCCTGAGCTCTACGAGGGCTCCAATTCCCTTCATCCACAGGAGGGAGAGAGAGGTCCAGAGAGGCCCTGGGAAGACAAGCAGCCTAACGCCACTGCACCAACAGCACCTCTGAATGGGACCTGAGAGAGGGTCAGTCAGGGACTGCAGGTGGGCAATGGCACTACCCAGGTCAAGAAGCCCTTGTTGTGTCCTTCCATGTGGGGCAGCTTAGCAGTGGGGCAGGAGGGCTCTGCCAGCTGCTTCAAACCCCAGGAGGCACTTAGGGGACCACAAGATGCCTTACCTGCTCCTCTTCCAGCAGAACCAGGCGCACGACAGTGATGTGGATGGGGTTCCCAATGCTGGGGTCATGGAACAGGCCGGCCACCTGCGCAAGGGATGGAGGTGGTCAGGCTGCTATCCGGGTATCCAGTGACCCTCCCCAACCACCTGGACAGGTGCACACCCACGTGCACGCACAGGAGCGCTCACTCAGGGACACAGGGCTGCACATGCAGGAATGTTTATGTACATGCAATCACATGTGAGCGTGCCCCCAATTTCACACATACGATTCCCCAACCTGGAAGACAGAAGGCCTCCCAGGTCCCTCCCAGGCCTCTCGCCTGTCCTGAGCACCAGTTTGGACCTGTTACCAGGTAAAATCCACATCCAACCAGGCCCAGACAATGACAGTGCAGCCCCCCTCCACTCAAGCAAATGTGCTGCTTGGCACATCTCCGGGTCCTAGTACTGCCTACTCGGTCCTCATCTGGGACAACTCTGCAGCGTCTCTTCCTGCCCTGGGGTCTGAGCCTCCTGTTGAGACACAAGACATGGACAGAGCCTGATGTAGATCTAGGACCTGGGACTTTACTATTTTATCTTCTGGGGGTCTGGCCATGCAGCCAAAGGGACAAGTGTCAATGCTCCATGCTATCTAAATGGTGAGTTCTCTAGAGTGCCAGGTCCCTCCCACACATGGAAGGTGGCTCACTCATTCATTGCCATCGAGTCAGAACCAACTCACAGCTGGCCCTTCACGGGGTTTCTGAGGAGCCTGCCCGTCTTCTCTGAAGGAGGTGCTGATGGATTTGAACTAGCAGAGAGGCTCAGACGCTGAATCAGCAGCACAATTCCCTAAAGACTATGCCACCAGGGCTCCAGAGAAGGTGAGCCAGGTGCAGGGAAATTTAAATGCTTTCAGCTCTTTCAAAGCCATCAGTTTGGGGCAAGGAAGAGGCCAGATCACAAGGGGAGCCAGGTGTCAGTGTTTAGAGTGTAGAGACACCAGTGGGACAGGCTCCAGCAGCTTCACTTAAAAAACACACACAAAAAAAGGCCCAGCATTCAAACAGGAATGAGCAAAACAAACACTGCTAACAGAGGATACATGCATTTCTAGATAGACCCAATCAGAAATGGTACTGACTCCCACACATCCAGTCTTCCATCCTCAATTTTGCCTGAATCTCTCTCTTCTCATCATCACCATTACCATTGCTCAGTTCAAGATGCCATCATCTTATTGTCCCGACCAGCCAGCAATCTCTAATTATGGGAAGCCAAACTTTATACCAAATATTATATGAAAATCCTTGTTCAGGAATTGAAGGAATTACAGATACATAAGTTAGGATTTCTCTTGTGGCAGATCCTAGAAAATGAGCTGTTTGTTCCCTGCAAGACAGGAGACAGCAAGGGGCCCCCTACAGAGGGAGTGTTACTTCCTGAGCTAGAGTTCACCCTGAGGCATCAAGGTTAATAGTTTAGGGTAAACCAAATTCTTGCATTTGTGAACCCCTCTTTCCTGAGTCAAGCTGAAGGTTTTCAATAGAAAGAGCTTGGCTTCATTTGCATTGAATTCTCTTTGTGATTTACTTCCTGATGATTTTCAATAAAGACACAGAGAAGCTTGGCTTGGGGTCTTCAGTCAGAACTGCTGGCCCCCTGTTTTATGCTCTCTGCTCTATCACATTCCTGGCTGTTTGTCTCTTTATTAATAATTATAAAATTATTCCATTCTTTGGGACCCTCAGTCTGCAACATCTAAGAGGTCTCCCTAGAAATTCTCTGGCCACTCTAGGCCACCTGCAGCCAAGAAGTTCTAGCCATCTGTCTTTGACCTACAAATTCCATCTCATCATGATTTTGCTTAAAGCATGTGAGTGATTCTTTATTGTCACAAGATAAGGATATATGTCCCTGGTCTGGATGACAGGTCTGGCTCCTGCCCACCTCTCTAGTCTTCTTCAAAAATCCCTTGAGCCTTCCTACCACATGACCTTTGCAAATGCAATTCCTTCAGCCTCGAAAAATCTTCACTCTCATCAGTTTTAAGATAAGTACAAGTTACCTTCTCCTCTCTCCGGTTCTCGGCCCTCCATCATGTTCTCTGGGAGCTTTTCTTATGTCCAGCACTCCCAAGGCATCACGGCCTCCCCAGCACCCACTCTGTGCTTTTACATCCAATGGGATGATAGTCTGATTAGTGTCCATCTCCCTATTTCACTGTGAGCTTCCCCGAGGACTGGGCCGTGTGTACTTGGACTCCCTCTTCCAGCTCCAGTGCTCAGCCAATGTCTGGCCCATGTATGGCACAAAAGAGCACTGAACAAACAAAAGAATCTTGGACAAAACCTCCCCAAGGGCTGGGTCGTCTGGACTCCCTTCTACAGCTCCAGTGCTCAGTCACGTGTCTGGCCCACACATGGCTCTCAAAATTTTTTGCATAAATTAATGAATCCTGGGGACTAAGCTGGGTATTTCCAATGCATTATCTCATTTTAAAGAAAAGTAAAAAGTAACATAAGAGTCTGAGGAAAATCAGATCTGAAGACCAAGTTCTTATTAGATGACACTCCAGTGGGTTTTCAGAGGCTATAAACCATGCAGAGATTATCTGTCTTTCTCCCACAGGGAAGCTGGTAGATTTGAACTGCCTGCCTTTGGATTGGCAAGGCAACTCCTTACCCACTAGGCCACCAGAGCTCCCTCATTAGATGATTAGATGGGAGACACGGGAGAGAAAAAGTCATAATCGGTTGATTAATTTAACCAAGGAATGTTTGTTAATGACATGAGGTCAGCATGAGGTGTTTCAGCTGGGAAATAGAGCCCTGCTTGGATAGCATGAGTAAGGAGAAAGTAAGATCTGAGGGTCACGGCGACCACAAGCACCCAGGGAATGCCACGAGACAGCCAGAGCTGGCTGGGTCTTACGCTGTCCAGTTTCTGGCTCACAGGGAACACCGAGAGCAGTGTGTGTTTGTGTGTATGATATGAATCAATCAGACACTGGTGATGGCTGCAGACCACTCCTGCCCCTCTTTAAAGAAGAGCCCTCTAAGAAGTAAAATAGTACTCACCCTCAAAAAAAAAAAGAAGTAAAATAGGAAAGATGAGACCTCAGAGTCTGGGAACCTGGTCTTTTCCCCCTCTCCCCACTTTGGGGCCAAGCCCTGCTGTCCAGGAAAGAACCCACCCAAACCCTGGCTATTAGTGGTTCACCTCCCTTGGAAGAGAAGGCTGAACGGCTTGGCTTGAGTTGAATCTCTGCATCTCTGAAGGCCAATGGCTTTTCATTTCTAAGGATTAGGAGCCAGTGATGGTGGCTCAGTCAAGGAAGGACTGACCCAGAGCTGAGCTTACAGATGAAGATCTGCAGTGGGGAATGCCAGGACCAGCTAGTACATATACTAGCGATCAACAAAGGTCCTTCTTGTCTGTGAGCCTCAAGCTTCCCAGCTGTAAAATGGATGGCTAGGTACTGATGCTGCCAGAAGGCATTTTCTTCAGAGTTGTCAAAGGTAAGGGGTTGGCATGAGGGAAGCAGCAGAGTACGGCACAGACCTCAGGCTCCCCTTAGGCATCATCTGCCTTCAGAGCACATACCCTTACCCTTGTCCCCAGCCATGCAGCCCACGGTAGAACCAGGCTTCCTGTGGCCTCCAGGCTGGATGGTCTGCTAAGAACACCAAGCAGAGATCTTTTCTCCAGAAGGCCAAGGGAAGTAGCCTGGTGGTGGAGGCCTCCTCGGCATATTCAGAGTGAGAAGCAGAGAAATAAAAGGCAGGCTCTGCTGTCCCCTCTAAAAAAAATCACTGGTTCCTATCATCTGAGTGACCCAAGAGCCATTTAGGCGAGCTGAGCTCCCATCCAGCTCTGCCCTTGGCTCGCTTTGTGACCTGGGCAGGATCCTCAACCTGGCTGGGGCTCAGTTCTTTTTGCTGCCATTTGATGTCATCTTCAAGTCACACATGGGTGAGCTGAGGCTCAGACAGGAAAAGTGACTTGAGACAGGTGCTCTCAACTGGGCATTTCTGTGTTCCCAGTGTCCAGCAAGGATCCTGGCACAGAGGAGGAAGGGGTGTGTTCACAGCAGTGTGAATGGACCCAACAGTCTGTGAGCTCTCCCAGGCAGGCACAACCAGAGTCTCGGTCTCGCTCTCACCCAGCTCTGGTTCTGGCAGTGTGTGGAGGCTGCCCTTCAAATGCCAGCTGAGTCATGAAGCTCAATGGTGTCCTCCTAGTAGCCCTACTACCTACTACCCTGCAGTCAGGCCCCCAACCCCATCCTGGGTCCCTTCCTCCTGCTTGAGGTCTGAGACTGGCTCAGGATCCCCCCAGGCAGCCTTCCTGTCCTGGATTCACCATCCCTTGCCCACCAGCAGCCCCCTCACCATGTTCATGATGGTCAGCACATAGTTCTCAACATTCGGCTGCCCGTGGTACTCCACCATTTTGGCATCGGCTACCACCAGGGTCTCCACCCACTTCTCCTTGCTGACCGAGCGCTGGTGCAAACGCCTTGGTCTCTGCCGCTGCCACCGCTGTTCCCAGCGCTCTCGCCGTGACTCCAGCTCCTGGGAGGCTGTGGACCCAGACAGGAAAAGGGTGAGGCTCTGCCAGGCCTCGTCCAGAACCTATGTCTCAAGGGCCTTTCTTAGCTGCCTCTGTTTAGGACAGAGGAGCCAGCCCTGGGGTCAGACAGGCTGCTGTAAGCAGGCTCTCAGCCACTGCCATTGGGTCAATTGTAATGCACAGTGAACACTAGGGAACAGACGAGAACTGTCCCATAGGATTTCTAAGACCATGTTTCCAAGACTCTTTACAGAAACAGACTATCCATCTTTCTCCCACGGAACAGCCAGTGGATTCAGACTGCCGATCTTTTAGTTTACAGGTTAGCTCTTAACAACTGTACCACTAGCACTCCCAGACAGTTTACAGAGATGTGTGACCTCAGGGAGGAAGCAGAAAAGGGAGGAGATTCCTGACTAGTAGTTCTACTGGAGCTGGGCATGGCAGGGTTGGGGTACAATAGGCAGAGGCGACTGGGCTCAAAGAAGAGATGGAATGAGAGGTGAGGCTGGCCAGGTGGGCAGAGGTTACAGGCCAAGGCACATCAGAAAGGGCCAGGCTATGGTGAAGTGTAATGTGTCTGTCTGTCCGCTGGTCTAAGGGAGCTGAGCATGGAGATGTGTGGTGAGGTTCCTACAAGGGACCTACTGTCCCCACTGAGCCCATCTCCACCCAGGAGTTGGCAAGCAGAGGGGAATACCTTGTACCCCACAGGTGCCTGGAGTCCTGGAGACATTCCACTCCGCTTGTCTCTTGGGGGCTTGTCGCTTGTAGACCACATGGGGCTGTGCGTGGCCGGGTCGTGCTGGGACTTCATCCAGAGGCTCAATGAAGTATTCCTCGTTGGAGAGCTGGAACACTCCTTTCTGAGGAAGAAGCGACAGACACAGAGGCTGGCACTCAGGGCTCTCCTGTCCATCTCCCATCCCTGAAGCATCTCTGTTCAGTGGCATACACACACTGTCCCATCACTTTTTAATAACCCAACACACTTGTTTTCCTCTCTGGGCTTTGTCCATCCTGAACCCTCTGCCTAAAATGTCCTTCCCTGGCACCTTCACTCAGCCAGAGTTTAAAAGCTCAAGTCAGAGGCCACAGCCCCCAGGAGTCAAGAAATGGGTCTTCATGCAAACTTAAGGCAGTGGCATCTTCCACTTGGTTCCCAGCAGCCTCCCTCCTTCCCTAGCCTGCAGCCCAGGCCTCAGGCCATTTGCTTCTTCTTAGCGTGCTGACAGCCCCAGCCACTGTGCCCCCTTACAGTTGGCCCCACGCTTCGAGTTGCCCTTGGTTTCCCTGAGGTGATGAATCACCCTAAAGGCAGCTCCACCACACCCGAGCCAGGGAGATGCTCTCAGCCACTAGGACATCCTGTTCCCTGAACCCAGGGCCTGCCACGGAAAGAAAGGAAGCCTTCAACATTCCCACCAGCATCAGAAAGTCCAGGGGAGGGAGAAGCCTTGGGAGTGACCTCTGGAACCCTCACCTACTAAGTAAGGAAGCTCAAAAACTACTAGGTGGTTCCAACAGAGAAGGTACCAATTCCTCCCCTCCCTCGGGTCATGCTGAGGAAGGGGGCATGAAGTGTTACAAATAGCATCCATGTCAGGGCCTGGAAGACCTGTGTTTCAACATGGATTTCCACTGGAAATCTCAAGCAGGTTTCAGTCTCAACTTGTTTCCTTACCTGTAAAATGGGCATTGTGGCCCCTCTTAGCAGCTGCTGCAAAGGCTAGCCAGATTAACTCTATATAAAGAGAGTCCTTTACCGGGGTTCCTATGTATGGGCTCCAAGAATGAGAATCCTTTGTGGGATTAACTCAGCAGCTGTGGCAGGTAGATAAGAGCATGGGTTCTAACCCCTGACCAGTTCTCCCCAGTGTGTCTGCAAGGGAGAAATAATAAAACAGAAATACATATGCATGCAGGGGGGAAGCCAAGAGTGATGTGCAGGTGGTAAGGGGAATGAAACAATTAAACAGGGAAACGCGGCAATGAGTGAACTATTTTTACTTGGATGTTAGTAAAGTTTTCTCAGGAGGTGACATTTAATTTGACACCTGAATTATAGAGGCAACAGGTAAAGACCAGAGGAAAGGGAAGCACAAGAAGAGAAAATAACCTAGGCACAGCTCCTAAGGAAGGGAGCTCTAGTGGCCTAGTAGTAAGGAGCTGCTTTACCAACCCAAAGGTATACGGTTCAAGTCTAACAACTGCTCTGCAGGAAAAAGAAGGGCAATTTCCTCCCATGCGATTTGCTGCCTCTGAAAACCCACTGGACAGTTAGCTATGGGTCAGTTCTGACTTAACAGGACATAATAAGAACATGTGTTAGGCACTTTTTAATCAACACTTACTAGTCACAACTACCTTATACAATTGTTAGGTTTTGTTGTTAAGTGCTATCGAGTTGAGTATGACTCCTAGTGACCCCACGAACAATAGATCTGAACTCTGTCCTACTCTGCACCATCCTCATCATCACTGATACATTTGAGTGTATTGCCACAGGCACCGCATCAATCTATCTCAGTGAGGGTCTTCCGCTCCTTCGCTGACCCTCCACCTTTTCAAGCATGATGTCCTTTTCTAGGGAGCAGCCTCTCCTAGCAACATGTCTAAAATATGTGAGGTGAAGCTTCATCAACTCTGCCTCCAAAGAACATTCTGGTTGTACCTTGTCCAACACATATCTGTTTGTTCTTTTGGCAGTTCTTGGGGTATGCAGCATTTTCCTCCAACATCATAACTTAAATACATCAATTCTTCTTCTGGCATCTTTATTCACTGTCCACTCTCAAATGCACAGCAGATAATTGGAAAGACTGTAGCCTGAATCAGGTGCACCTTAGTCTTCAGAGTGACATAATTGCTCTCTAGGGCTTTGGAGAGATCCCTGGCAGCAGACTTTCCTAATGTTATACATCTCTTAATCTCTTAAATATTATTACCAAGGGTGTTACTATAGATCCAAATAAGATGAAATCACTGACAATTTCAATTTTTTTTATCCATCTATCATGATGTTGCCTACTGGTACAGAGGTAAGGATTTTTGTTTTCTTGATATTGAGATGCAATCTATATTGAAGACTAGAGTCCTTGATCTTCTGCAGCAAACACTTCAGGTCCTCCTCACTTCTAGCAAGTAAAGTTGTGTCATCAACTTATCACAGGTTGTTAATGAGCCTTCCTACAATCCTGATGCCACACTCTTCTTCATAAAGTTCCGTTTCTTGAATGTTTTCCTCAGAAAGCTGACTGAATAGGTATGGCAAGAAGATATAGCCCTGCCAGACAACTTTCCTATTTTAAATCATGCAATGTTCCCTTGCTCTGTTTGGACAATAGCTTGTTGGTATAGATTTTGCATAAGCACAATTAAATGTTCTGAGATTTCCATTCTTCTCAAGGTTAGCCATAGTTTCTTATGATCCATACAGTCTAATGTCTTTTGCATAGTCAATTAAATACAAGTAAACAATCTTCTGATATTCTCTGCTTTCAACCAAGATTCATCTGACATCAGCATAATATGTCAGGTGCATGGCCTCTTCTAAACCCCATTTAATCTTCTGCAGTTCTCTGATAATGTACTCTTCTGGTCATTTTTGGACAATCTTGAATAATATTTTACATGCATGTGGTACTAATGGTATTGCTTGATAATTTCCACAATCTTTTGGGTCACCTCTCTTGGGAATGGACATAGCATCTAGATCTCTTCCAGTCAGCTGACCAGCTAACTATCTTCCAAATTTCCTAGCACAGACTGATGAGCATGTCCAGAGTTGCAGCTGTTAGTTGAAAAATGCTGATTGGTATCCCATCCAATCTCAGAGCTTTATTTTTTGCCACTGTGTTCAATGCAGGTGCTATTATTAGGCCCATTATACATATAAGAAACCTGAGGCACAGAGGAGGAGAATAGTATGGCTATGACAAAGGAGGAGAGAGGGAGGGTAGTGAGCTATGGGGTGGTTTCCCATGCCTAAAGGAACAGCACTGAGCCTCCCCATTGAGCTGGGCCCTTATCCCCAGACCCAGCTAGTCTCCACTCTGGGGTTTTTGAAGCCTCATTCTCAGTGGAAATAAAACACTCCCCTTCAAAGAGATAAGGGGGCCATACATACTTGGCAGACCCTGACCACACAGATATCAGGTGGAGGGCCACTTTCCAAGCAAGTGCTCAGCAAGTCTTTGCTCATATATGATTCAAATGTGGTAAGTAGTAAGGGGGCAGACAGACATGAGATGAAGTCTGCTGAAGAATGAAGATACCACCAAAACCTTGCCTGAGGAGCAGCTGTCTTAGACTGCTTCATCTTTTTTTTTTTAATATTTATTTACAAAATTTGAATATATTGTTTTTGAGAACAAATTCTTTTAATTTCCCTTAAACCCCCCCCCATCAAATTGTATATCCCTATGATTAATCCCCCATCACATATCCTGATCCCTCTGCTTCTACCCTTTCCCATCCCTCTTGGATCCTTATACTCATTCTACAATAATGATTTTCTACAATATTTATCCTTATGGGACTGAGTTAGTTCACTCAGCATAATGCTCTTCAGTCCCTCCCAAGTTAGGTAATAATTTACAAAATCATTGTTCCTGCGTACTGCACAGTATTTCATTTTGTAAATGTACCATAATTTCTCAATCCATCCATTTGTGGTTCTATATTTGGGCTTTTTCCATGTTCTTGCAATGGTGAATAATGCTGCTATGAACATTGGTGTACAAGACTCCATTTGTGCCTCAGCCCTCATTTTTTCAGGGTATATTCCAAACAGTGGAATAGGTGGGTCATATGGAATTTCTATGTTCAGCTTTTTAAGGAAGCGCCAAACTGAAAAACGGTTGCACCATTTTACAGTCCCACCAACAATGTATAAGAGTTCCTTTCTCGCCACATCATCTCCAATATCTATTACTTGCTGCTCTGTTAAACTTTGCCACTGTTACTGGAGTGAGATGGTACCTCATTGTGCTTTTGATTTGCATCTCTCTTATTGACAGTGATTTGGAGCATTTCTTCATGTGTCTGTTTGCCATTGAAATATCTTCCTTTGTGAAAATTCTTTCCATGTCTTTTGCCCATTTTGTTAATTGGGTTATCAGTCTTTTTCTTGTGGAGGCCAAGGAGTATTCTGTAAACTTTCCTTATGAGACTCTTGTATGAGATGGTATTACCAAATGTTTGTTCCCAGTATGTAGGTTTTCTTTTCACCCTGCTGGGAAAAGTTTTTGATGCACACGTGGATTTAATCTTTAGAAGGTCCCATGCATCAATTTTATCCTCTTCAGATTGTGCATTTCTGGTTGTATTTGGCAGTCTCTTTATACCTTGGACTAAAGCTTCTAAGCTTGATCCCAGTTTGTGTCTTATGAACGTTACGGTTTGGGGCTTTACTCCCAGGTCTCTGATCCACTTTGAGTTGATATGTGTGTATGTTGTAAGATGTGGATCCTGTTTCAGCTTTCTGCAGGTAGAAGTCCAGTTTTGCCAGCAACATTTGTTGAAGAGGTTATCATTTCCCCATTCAATAGCTTTGATTTCCTTGTCAAATATCAGTTGACCATAGATAGTTGGATCTATTTCTGGGTTCTCAATTCTGTTTCATTGGTCTATGTGCCTGTCATTGTACCAGTACCATGCTGTTTCGGTTACTACTGCTGTGAAGTAAGTAAGTTTTGAATCAGGGAGTGCTATGCCTCCAATCTCATTGCTTTGTCTCTTTAATGCCAATCTAAGTCGTTGTCTTCTCCACAGGTTTGTCAGAGTTCTCACACACTAGCCCACCCAACCACCCACATCTACCCACCCCACTGCCCACCATGTCCACCCTGACATTGGGCTGGTTCCAACTCCCAGCAACCCTTAACAGGTTTCTGAGACTGTAAATCTTCAAAGGAGAAGACTGCCCTTCTTTTTCTTTCCAAGGAATGGCTGGTAGATTTGAACTTCCTAACTTGTGCTAGGGAGCTCTGATGGTCTAGTAGTAAGGAGTTGTGCTGCCAACCCAAATGCAGAAAGTTTGAATTCACCAGTTGGTCTGCAGGAAGAAGGGCAATCTCCTCCCACATGATTTACAGTCTCTGAAAACCCACTGGGGGATCAGCCATGAATCAGTTCCAACTCGATGGCCCACAATAACCACAACCTTGTGCTAAGCAACCCCATACATTATGTCCTACAATACCACTGTGTCAGTGTCCCCTAATTCCCGTGCAGACCAAGACAGATGCCAGATGTCCTGTGGCCACTGGAATAAGCAGCCCTGTCATTAAGCCTTGTCCCAGCTATAGCTTTTGCCTGAGGGCCTCCTGGGGACAGATGATGGTGTGCACACATCCCCCAAGCTCTCCAAGCACTTTGCAGAGAGAGGAGGGCAGGACCGGGCATCTATATGGAGAAAAGGAAGGGGTCTCCACATCGGGGAAGGTTCTGAACACGGCATTCAAATCAAGGGAGGTTATTAGGGCTGCAAGCACTAGCCAGAATCACCCTTTTGCCCATGTGCCAGCAGATGAAGCCTGCTCTCCCAGGAGCTCTGATCTGCACAGAAGAAATATCAGAGGTGGCTTGTTGTCTCACAGAATGGCTTACAGGCAACTAGTGCCTACTCCAGAGAAAGGCAGCTAAAGAGAGTCTGCAGGGAACAGAGGCATTGCTGTCACCCCAAAGAAAGTGAAGGTCAGCTGTGCTTTGAGTTACTTATGCTACAAACAAAAGTCAAACCTGTTGCCGTGAAATCCGTTCCAACCCTTAGCATTCTCACGTGGAACAGAATTGCTCCATAGGGCTTTCTCAGCTTTAATCATCATTCAAGCCAAGTCTATCTTGAAGCACTTCTAGGTGGATTAGAACCACCTGTCTGTAGGTCAGTGGCTCAGTACAAACAGTTTGAACCAACCAGGAACCTGGTTTGTCTACACACAGTGGTTCTCAAAGTAGGGTGTCTGTACCTGTAGCATCAGCATTATCTGAGACACTGACAGAAATGCAAGTTTTCAGGACCCCCACCCCAGACCTACCTTCTCAGAAACTGTTTCAATTAGTCTTGCAGATGATTCTAATTCTCAAAAGCGTGAGACTCACTGCCCCAGACAAGGTGTGTGTTTGTCAGTCCCACTTCACAGGAGTGATTACTAAACCCCAGGAAGGAACAGCTCATCAGCCAAGGCCACCAGTCAAGTTCAGACATGGCGGGAGGCAGCCCCACATCCCACCATCCCATTCCCAGTGCACTCACCAAGCCCTGGCAGGCGCTGATAGCAGCCAGGCCACCCTCAAGCTGAGGGTCTTGCACCTCACCGAGCAGGTGGCAGGCAGGACTGTGGACTTGGATGTGTGTGTGGCCCAGGCCTCCATGCCGCCGTGTCTCTCTCACGAAGCCCGGAGCCAGCAGGTGCTGGTTGGTGGTCAAGTTGAAGCGCAGCTCTCGCCCACGGTACAGCAATTCATAGTAGGCCGGTGTGCTGTGCCGAGCAGACACGTCCCGCTTGCGCAGTGCACGTGGCCACAGCTCGTAGGACAGGAAGAAGCCCCCTGCATCCACACGGACTGGATGCACAATGTCCAGTGCCACTCGGTTCTCAGAGGTAGGACCTGCAAGGACATGCACAAAGCACCTGGATCAGCCATGGATTTGGGGCTCTGGCTGATGGGCATGGATTAGAGGCAGAGAGAGAGTAGCTGGGCTCATTCATCTGTGCTACTCCTAGCTCTGCTAGTCTCTCTCTTGGGCCTCGGTTCCTCCATCTGGTTTACTGTAATAACCTCTTAATAGGTCCTTTTGCTTTTACTATTGCCCAGCTCAGCTCTGTCCCTTTGTTGATAGTGTTGTTAGTTGCTATGAGTAAACGCAGACCCATGTACAGAATAAAACTGCTCCATTGGGTTTTCATGGTTGTGACCTTTTTTTAAACAGATAACGAGGCCTCTCTTCCAAGGTGCCTCTGGATAGGTTCAAACCATCTTTTGGCTTGTAGTCAAGGACATGACAGTTTGTACCTCTGTCTCAGTTATCTAGTGCTGCTATAAAAGAAATATAAGTAAGTGGCTTTAATGAACAGAAAGTTACCCTCTCACAGTTTATGAGGCTAAGAAATCCAAATTCAGGACACTAGCTCCAAGGAAAAATTCTTTCTCTATCACATTTGGAGGAAGGGCCTTGCACATGGAAATTTCCATTATGTCTGGCATCAATTTTCCCCTGAGTCTAGAAGGTTCCTGGTGCAGGGACCACAGGTTCAAAGAACTGGCTCTACTTTTAGCTCTTTTTTTTAAGTTAGTCAGATATCTGTCTCTGGTTGCTTTGTTTTCCTTTTATCTAAGATAAAAGGTGATAAAAGCCAGACCCCAGGAAACTCCCCTCATATCAGTTCTAGGACTTGAGTAAGGGCATACTTTCAAGCTAATTTCCTTACAACTGATAGGTTAATCACATCAAATCATTACCTGAAATATATTGTTATATAACTACCCAATTATACCATTCCATAACTCCCAAACCATCGAAAATTAGGGTTCAGCCAAGTTGACATATATTTTAAGGGGATATAATTCAATCCAATTGCAAAACAGGTGGCACATCACTTTAAAACAAACAAATAAACAAAACTTAAATCAATTTCAAGTCCAAACTCCATTCTGGGATAAAATTTCTCTTTTAGGGAACACTGGTGGCCTAGTGGTAAGAAGCTGTGCTGCAATCCTGAGGCATGCAGTTCAAATCCATCAGCTGCTCCATGGGAGAAAGATGGGTAATCTCCCATGTGATTAACTGCCTCTGAAAACCCACCAGAGGGTCAGCTACAGGTTGATTCCAACTTGATGGTACACAACAACAACAACAACTATTAATTTAGAATACATGTTATTCTAAAGTACAACGGTGGGACAGACATGAGGTAAACATTTCCACTACAAATGAAATAATTTGAAGGAAAGAAGAGAATCTACCAGCAGCCTCACAGTAAAAAGATGGGCAATCTCCTCTGAAATCCCAGTAGAGGGTCATTTCTGGCTCGATGGCAAGTGAGAGAAAAAGATTACAGTAGGAACACAGTAAGTGGATGGCTTAACAATCAACACCCTTGGTACCAAGAGTTAGGAAATGAAGAGACATGCTTCACTGGCAAAGTCTGTAGTCAGAGACCTCTCCAAATTATTGAGTATTGATGTCAATTTGGGGACTAAGGTACTTCTCATTCAGGCCATGGTCTTTCCAATCACTTGGTATGTATCTGACAGCTGGCAAGGAATAAGACCGACAGAAGAAGAATCAATGCCTTTGAGCTGTGCTTTTGGAGTACTGGACATCTCATAGATTGTCAAAAGAACACACAGATATGTCTTGGAGAAAATGCAGCCATAGTGCTCCTTGGAGGCAAAGTTGATAAGCTTTGCCTCATATACTTTGGACGTGTTACTAGGAAGGGCTATTCCTTGGAGAGGGACATGATGCTCGGAAAAGTGGGGAGTCAGCAAAGAGGAAGACCTTCAACCAGGTGGATTAATTAATACCTGCAGCAATGGGTTCTAGTGTGTCAGGAAGTGTGAGGATGGCATAGGATAGGACATGGTTCAGATCTGTAGGTCGCTGTGGGTTGTACTCAACTTGACAGCATCTAACAATAACATAGCTTTAACAATGAGAAATTTATCCCTTCATAATGTAGGAGTCAACAATCTGCGTTATGCGGATGACACAACCCTGCTTGCTGAAACTGAAGAGGACCTGAAGCACCTGCTGCAGAGTGTCAAGGACTGCAGCCTACAATATGGATTGAGGCTCAATGTCAAGAAGACAAAGATTCTCACCACTGGACCAACTGGCAGCCTCAGGATGGATGGTGAAGAGATTGAGATTGTACACAGCTTTAGTTTGCTTGGCTCCATAGTCAACAGTCTTGGCACCAGCAGCCAGGAAATTAAAAGGCGCATTGCCATGAGAAAGTCTGCTGTTAGAGACCTCTCCAAAGTACTGAAGAGCAATGGTGTCTCTCTGGAGACTAAGGTGCGTCTGATACAGGCCATGGTCTTCGCAATCACTTGTTATGCATCAGAGAGTTGGACAATGACCAAGGAGGATAGAAGGAGAATTGATGCCTTTGAGCTGTGGTGCTGGAGAAGAGTATTGAGAATACCATGGATTGCTAGGAAAACAAACAGATTTGTCCTGGAAAGGGTTAAACCGGGTGGCTCCTGGGAGGCAAGGATTCTGAGGCTCCGTCTAACATACTTTGGACATGATGTGAGGAGTGACCAGTCCTTAGAGAGGGACATCATGCTTGGGAGGGTGGAGGGACAGCGCAGGAGAGGAAGGCCCTCTATGAGGTGGATTGATTCAGTGACTGGGATAATTGGGATGGGAGTGTCAGAGACAGTGCGATTGGCACAGGACAGAGCGGAGTTTAGGGCTGTTGTACATAGGGTCGCTATGAGTCGCAAGCGACTCGACGGCACATAACAACAACAAATGTAGGAGTCTAGAAGTTTGATTTTCTACGGGAAGGCTTTCTCTAGCTGTCAGCTCTGGAGAAAGGTCCTTGTCTTCTCTCAACAACTGTGGGCCCAGTGCTTCTTGGAGATGTTCATGGGTCCTAGCATCAACCTTCCCCTGGGTCAAGTGGGTTCTAAGGGACTCCAGGTCTAAGGGCCTCCAGTCCAAAAAATGTGCTCTACTCCTAGCTCTTCCTTCTTGGTTCTAGCCAGGTCCCTCCTTCTCTGCTTGCTTCTCTAACCTTTTATCTGTTCTAAGATGCAGACCACATCCCAGGCAAACTCTGAGATGGGATCAGGAATATGACCAGAGTAAAGGTGTTATAGCTTACTTTCATCTTCTTAGAACTGATTGGCTGATTACATCATAGGGGATGATTACATCATCACCCACCCAAAATGCACCATCATCCCATTCATGCCAACCCACAGCAACCTTCTTGGACAGAAAAGAATGGCCTCCTCACTTCTAAAGTAGAAATCTTTATGCAAGTAGGTGGAGGATGGAGTGGCTGATGGATCTGAACCAACAAACTTCTGGTTAGCAGTTGAATGCTTTAACCACTATACCACCAGGGCTCCTAATATCATTCCCTAACTGCCAAATGATATCATTACATAATCACCAAACCATTGAGAATCCTAGCACAGCTAAAGTGACTCATATTTTTGGAGAGACACAATTCAACCCACAGCAGCTCCTCAGAGACTTTTCAATTCTGTTCCTCACTCCTTCCACCATAGTCATTGGCCTCCTTTACATTCCTCCTCAATGAAACAGGTCAGACATATCCCTGGTCCCAGAGAGTGTGCACTGTGGTTTCCTCTGCCTGGAAAACTCTTCCACTAGATACTCATATGGCTGAAGTCCTCACCTCCTTAAGTTCTCACTCAAATGTCTCCTTCTCACTGAGGTTTTTTTCCTCTGACCACTTTGTTTCTTAATGTTAAATTATAAGTGAAGTTTGTTACTATTAAAGCTACAATTAAAATTTAAAATGAAAATTACAATTGTAACTCCCTGGCTTCTATTCTCCTTCCCTGCTTTGTTTTTTGAAATAGTAATTCTGATGGATCCTATCATTTTCTTGTTTCTTTTTTCTACCATCTTCTCCACCACCCCCAAACACAAGCAGCTTCCTGTTCTTTGTTTTGATGATTATAAAGTGCTAGGAGAGTGTCTGGTAACTAGTAGTTTCTGGGTAAATATTTGCTAAGTGAATCTACAGAATGAGCTGTGTCCGACCACTCAACAAGCAAGGAAAGAGCAGGCTTACTTGTGCTTACTTAGTCTGGACAATTTTATAATTTTTCTACATCAAAGATTCTCCTCTTAGGTATGGCTGGTATCTGTTTCTCTTCCCAACCCTAGAGCACCTTCCAACAGCATCAAAACCTCTCTCTTTTCAAATTTACAATTCCAGACAGGCTTCATTACTAAACTGCATAGTGAAACATTCCACGAGCTTTTATCAGGTGGCATGGCCTTGTGTACTGGGCTATGTACCCTGAGAATGAGGATAATAACAGAATTTACTCTCTTGGGACCATTGTGAGGATTAAACGACTTGAGCTAAATCACATATAGTAGAGCTGGGTCCACTGACTGAACATGATGACTGACTAAACATTTTGGCTATAAATTATATTAGCCTGGTGAATTCAAGAACAAGCTCAAAGGTGCACAAAGGTAAGTTGTCTCCAGGCTTCCCGAGATTAGAGATTGAGAAGGAACATCCAGGCAGGTCACTCTGGTCACCTTTGTTGTTGTTAAGTGAGAGTTGAGTACAACTCACAGAGACCCTATGAACAACAGATCTGAACCTTTCCTTCTCCTGTGCCATCCTCATCATCTCAGACACACTTGAAGCCACTGCCACAGTCACTGTGTCAACTCATCTCGTTTAGGGTCTTCTCTCTTCCACTCACCTTTCCAAGTATGATGTCCCTTTCCAAGGAACAGCCCCTTCTAGAAAGATGCCCAAAGTATGTGAGATGACGCTCACCATCCTTGCCTCTAAGGAGCACTCTGGCTGCACTTTCTCCAAGACTTCTGTTTGTTCTTTTGGCAGTCCATGGGATATTTGGTACTCCCTTCTAACACAACCCAAAGGCATCAATTCTGCCATCCTTATTCACCATCCGGCTATTCTTTTGTCTTTAAACTAACATCACTGCTCTTCAGGACTTTGAAGAGGTCCCTGACAGCAATCTTTACCACCTACCTTTCCACAAAGCAGCTCTGGTTTCTGTCTTTCCCAAGTAAGAAGAGTCCATTTGAAGGAAGAGCTTCAGGGCTATAAAAAATATATCTGCAATCTACTTCTCAGGCTTCTGCAGTTTGCAAAACCCCCTCCCTGTAACTCTGTCCTCTTGGAGCTTGTGACAAGGCCTGGATTCTTAATCTATTTGGCCATGGTTCTCTTTCTCAGAATGCTTTTAAAGTCATAAATAAAATACACATGGAAAGTGACCATACTGAAATACAGTCATCAAAGTATATTTTTAAGTTAGCAGGAGCAGATGGGAGGGAGGGGGAGAGGAAAACTCATTCCTTAGAGGACACTGAACTGTTAGGTGGGTGGCTGAACAGTTTTTATCATCGAATTAATTAATTAAGCTATGCCATATTTAATTTCACTGAACTGTGAATGGCACCATTGAATGGCAGACACATATTTATACCACATTAACAATATTTTGGATATATATTTTTAAAAGTTGAGTATAAAACTATGTGCCCTTTTTTAAGGCACCTAATGACAAATTTGATGACCAAAAGAACTTTGAAGTAATGATATACATAAATTTTACTTTGAGAAAGAAATGTGGGGGTTTTGTTCCCAATAGTGACAAAGTGACAAGGATGGGTAATGCTGCTGAGATTTGTCGTTAACATACAAACTTGAAGCTTGATATCCCTTGTGTTTGTTGTTGTTATGTGCCATCAAGTCACTTGCGGCTCATAGCGACCCTATGTATAAGAGCCCTAAAGGCCATTCTATCCTGTGCCAACCTAGCCATCTCAAACACACTCATTCTCACCACTCCACTCACAGAATCGATCCATCTCATTGAGGGTCTTCCTCTCCTGCACCGTCCCTCCACTCTGCCAAACATGATGTCCCTCTCCAAGGGCCAGTCCCTCCTTGTAACATACCCAACATATGTAAGACAAAGCTTCAGAATCCTTCACTCCAAGGAGCATTCCGCCTTCACCTTCTCCAGGACAAACCTGTTTGTTCTTCTAGCGGTCCATGGTATATTCAACAATCTTCTCCAGCACCACAGCTCAAAGTTATCAACTCTCTTTCTATCATCCCTATTCACTGTCCAACTCTCCAATGCATAGCACATAATTGCAAAGACTATAGCCTGGATCAGGTGTACCTTAGTCTCCAGCCTGATTTTGTTGCTCTTCAGTACTCTTGAGAGGTCCCTCACAGCTGACTTTCCCAATGCAATTCGTCTCCTGATTTCCTGGCTGCTGTTACCAAGAGTGTTGACTGTGGAGCCAAGTACATTAAAACTGTTAATTATCTCAATCTCTTCACCATCCATACCGATGCTGCCAATTGGCCCAGTGGTGAGAATCTTTGTTTTCTTGATGTTGAGCTTCAATCCATACTGAAGACTGCAGTCCTTGAGAACTTAAAGGTATGTCATTTTCCCTCAGAAGCTGTGGTGACTGACAGTGGTTAAGCACTTGGCCGCTGACCAGAAGGATGGTCAGGGGTTCAACCATACCAGCCATGCTGCGTGAGAAGGACAGGGCCGTTTATAAAGATCTGCAGCTTTGGAAACCTCCTGGCATAGTTCTTCTCTGTCTTCTAGGGCCACTGAGGTGGAGTCAACTTGATGGCAAGGTCCTTATTATTGTTAGAAGCCACTGAGTCAATTTCTGACTTGTGACGATCCCTGTGTCAAAGAGCTTCCCCATAAGGTTTTCTAGGCTGAAATGTCTATAGGAAGGATCTCTAGTGGTGTAGTCAATAAAGCTGGAGATTTGAATCCTAAAGCTGAAAAGGAGAAAGGTGGGGCAGTGTGCACCTGTAAAGAATTTGGAGCCTTAAAGACTGTGAGGTGCTTCTCCTCTAACTTCCAGGATTGCTACGATTGAATGGACTCAACAGCAACAGCCTTGGGCCTGGTTTGGAATCTTTACAGAAATAGATGACCTGGTCTTTCACCTAGGAGACTGCTGGTGGGTTCAAACCACCAACCTTTTGGTTATTCAAAAGCTTAACCTTTGTGCCACCAGGGCTCCCTATCTAACTCATGGACCCTCTGTACTCTACCATAGTTCCTCAAACCAGCAGGCCTCAAATGGGGACCTCTGTGGTTCGGCCTAGAGACTATTGCCTAAATGAGAACATAAAAGGAGAGAGAGACCGGCCTAATGTCACACAGCGAGAGTGGTACAGCCAAGCTCTCAGACAACTCCAAACTGATCAGTAATACTGTTCTACATCTGATGCTGGCTAGGTCTCAGTTTTCCCACTGTGAAGGTGAAGAACTATATCAAGTTTTAAAAATTTCTATGGCTACCAGCTCTAGGACTTCCATAACTTAAAACAAGCTTGGAAGCAGGAATGGCATCCACTTCTGAAATAGTTTGCCTCCGGAAACCCTATGAACCTGGAGAAATGATGAAAGTTATACAATTGTTCAGGTCTTTTGTTCATAGAGTTGCTATGAAATGCCTACGACTCGATGGCACGTATCAACAACAACATAGAGAGAGCTCAGTTGGCCTAGTGAACAGAAAGTGATGCTACCAAGCCAAAGGTGGTTCGCTTTAATCCACAGCCCTCAGGCCTGGTTTTAATTGTTTTTGGACAAACGTTCTTCTAGGTCAGATAACCCTTGTCTGTGCATTGCTGTACAGAGGTAACTCGTGGTTGCTGTGATGCAGAACACTGTGACACTGATGTGCCAAATGTGATAATGGTTACCCATGGTGGACAGTGTTTGGTTGAGCTCCCCGATTAAAACAAGCTTAGAAGCAGGAGTGGAATCCACTTCCGAAATAGCTTGCTTCCAGAAACCCTATGAACCTGGAGAAAGGATGAAAGTTATGCAAGTGTCCAGGTCTTTCGTTCATAGGGTCACTATGAGTCACATACAATTCGATGACACTTAACAACACAACAACCAGCTCTAAGAAAATAGGAATCCCAGAACACTTGATTGTCCTTATGTGAAACCTGTACTTGTCCTTATGCGAAACCTGTACTTGGACCAGGAAGCAGTCCTCAAAACAGAGCAAGAAACACTGCATGGTTCAAAATCAGGAAAGGAGTTGTCAGAGTTGCATCCAGTCTCCATATAATTTCAATTTATATGCAGAACAGATCATTCGAGAAGCTGGACTTTTTGAGGAGGAATGTGACATCATGATTAGTGGAAGACTCATCAACAACCTATGATATACAGATGACACAACCTTGCTTGCTGAAACTGAGGACCTGAAGTGCTTGCTACAGAAGGTCAAGGACTGTAGTCTTCTATAGTCTTCAATATTGATTGAAGCTCAACATCAAGAAGACAAAGATTCTCACCACTGGACCAAGTGGCAACAACATGATAGATCGAGAAGAGATTGAGGTTGTTAATGATTACAGCTTTCTCAGCTCCACAATCAACACTCTTGGCACCAGCAATCAGGAAATCAAAAGATGAATTTCATTAGGTAAATTTGCTGTCAGAGACCTCTCCAGAGCACTCAAAAACAATTATGTCAGTCTAGAGATTAAGGTGCCCTGATCCAGACCATGGTCTTAGCAATTACTTGATATGCATCAGAAAGCTGGATGATAACTGAGACAAGAAGAATCAATGCCTTCAAATTGTGGTGCTGGCGAAGAGTTTTGAACATACCATAGACACCCAGAAAACAAACAGGTCTGTCTTGAAGTGGGTGAAACCAAGTTCCTCCTTGGAGGCTCACATATTTTGGGCATGTGGCCACGAGGGACTAGTTCTTGGAGAAGGACATCATGCATGGAAGGATGGAGGAATGATGCAGGAGAGGAAGAACCCAGATGAGATAGACTGATACAGTAACTGGGGCAATGGGGGCTGGTGTGGCGGAATCAGTGAGCCTGGCTCAGGACAGGTAGGCTTTAGAACTGCTGTACATAGAGTCGCTAAAGGTCATGGGCAACTCGACGGTACATAACAACAACAACAATAACAACAACTAGCTCTAGTCTTCAAAAGACTATTATGTAATAAGAGAGGAAGAATCTGGAAAAGAACGAGTGCACAACTTGAATGGAATCAACATCACTGAGTTGTGCAGGCAGAAATTGTATGTTCTACTATGGATAGTCTCAGCAACAAGGCATAGAATAAACGATGAAAAATGTTAAAAATAAACACAGCATGTATCAGAGCAGGACGACTGTGGAGGGCCCAGACTCTGGAGAAACAGGAAGCTCTGGCCAATCTGAGGTTTCTCCCAGCCTCACCCAGGTCCCGCCCAGATGGACACTCCCGGCTCATGACAGTGAACCCTGGGATCCACATGAATGTCTGGGGGCCCTACAGATTTCCCACGAGGGCTCAGTCTGCCACGACAGGGCTGGAGGGAAGCCAAGCCAGGCTGCAGAAACCCAACTTGCCTCCCAGTCTGAATCCCGCTAAACAATACAGTGTCTCCAACTCACTAGTGGTGTGCCCCTCTGCTGAGGACAGCCCCCAACTGCCTGCAGTTACCCTAGAGGGCTGATGACCATCAGGGCCCAGAGATTGCCATAAATGCCTCCAAACCCTGCTTCAAAAGGCTGTGTGGGTTGGGTGCGGGCTGGGTGAGCTACTGCGTTACTTTGGATTCAGGAGGACACTGGTGCTGAAATGTGCCGGGCTTCTCAGCTGAAAATCATTTAAGTATTTGTTAAAATCAGACTCCCAGACCTCATCCCAGACCCACTGAATCAGCATGTCCAGGAAACTGGACTGGGAAGCTCTGTTTTTAAAAGAAGAGCCTCAGGGGACTGTGCTCAGCAGAGATGTTAAGAAATTCCCAACCAGGAGTGAAGCTGGCTGAACTTCAGCAGTACCTAGAGAGTTCTGAAAAACCACAGATGCCTAAGAGATAATCCAGAGATGCCAGCCCCTTAGATCCAGGAATCCACAGTTTTCTAAGCCTTCCCAGGGATTTGGATGTAACTATTTCAGGCACTGGATACTGGATAAGTTAACTCTTTCATGGCTGAATTGCTTTTTGCTTTGATTTTTCTGGATGGCATCACATATTTTCAGTAATCAAACCCAAAATCCAAACCTATTGCCATCATGTCAATTTTAATTCAAGTAACCCTGTTAAGACAGAGACCTGTCCCTTGGGCTTCCAAGGCTGTAGAATCTTTCTAGAAGCAGGCTGACACCGCTTTCTCCCACAGAGCGGCTGGTGAGTTCGAACCACTCAACTTTTGGTTATTGGCTGAATGTTTTAGGCAATGTATCACAAGAGTTCCTTCAGCAATGGGAGGCAACTGAAATAAAATGGGTTTTTTTGTTTTTTGTTTTTTCAGGACCTACAGAGTTTAATACAATTATATGAGATGAATGTCTTAACTTGACTATAGTTCTAGGACTAATGGGGTGAAGTCTGTTTCTTCAGATTAATACACTGATACAGGCACTGGCCAGAAGAATACATTACAGCAAGGATAGCAGCTTCCCAAGAAAACTGAGAGACTGGAAACATGGGTAGGTGCTGTCTGTCCCATGGGCCATGAAATGGTTATGAAGATTTCTAGCTTTGACATCCTAATAAAGGCTTTTGGGATTGCAACCCTACAGCCTGCAAATTTGTTTTCTCTTTCTCAATTTGTTGATTTTTAAAAATTGCTTTGGCTGACAAATGTTAAAAATGGTTTTGTTTTTTCTTTTGGTTTTGGTTTTTGTTTTTTAGCAATAATTTTTTTAATTTATTATTAATTTCAATGAAAATTTACAGAGACTTTGGATTCCCATTCATTGATTATTGCACTCTTCTCCCTGCTTTTGCTCTGGACTCTGGTCATGACAAAAATACCTAATCACATATCCCTTATAAATAGTTTTCTCCTTTGTCTGTTTCAATGCAGTATACATTACTGAACCCATCTTTCTCAGTCTCCCCCCAACCCCGAGGTCAGTCCTGTTTTACAACAGTGGCACCATGCAGTATTTGTCCTTTTGTGACTGAGACATTTCACTCAGCATAATGTTCTCCAGGGTCATCCATTTTGAATAATATTGCCTGAGTTCTTGTTTTTCAATGCAGCATAGTATTCCATTGTGTGAATATACCACAGCTTCTCTATCCATTCGTTTGTTGATGGGCACTTAGGTTGTTTCCAACTCCTTGCTAATGTGAACAAACCCACGATAAACATGGGTGTGCATATAGCTGCTTGGATGTCAGTTATGGTCTCTTTGGGGTATATTCCCAGTAGTGGGATTGCTGGATCAAGTGGTATCTCTATTTGCAACTTTTTGAGAAAACGTCATACTGCCTTCCACAGTGGTTGCACCTAAAAACTGTTTTAGTCCAATGTTTTAAACCAATGTTTACAAATCTTATAATCTTGCATGAAATCTTAATTTTTGGCTTTCCTTGAAAAGACCTAAAATCTAACCATGTCAGGCTTAAATTTCCACCTGAAAGAAGGGGCTGAAGAGAAGACCTGAGGCTCCCTCCTCTCTCCTCCCCACTGAGATCCCAACACTGTGGCTGGACGAATGCTGGCTCTGCCACTGTGC